TAGTGTATTTTGATTATTCAATATTCATTAACCTAATGAATAATTCTTAATTTGTTTCACTCTGTCTCTTCCCAACTGAGTTAAACTGGAACCAAGTTGAAAAGGTTCAATGTGTATGTTTATTCTGAAATTTGTGCAATATAAGATTGGCTTGAATTTCTGTATACTGTATAGTTTAACAGCTATCCCAAATTCATAAATTCACCCATTCCTATTGGTCAAGAGCCCATCATGTGGGTGGTTGATAAAACACCGACTGGTTTTAAACACTTTTTTCTGGCACTGCTGTGTTCTGCGCCACATCGCGCAGTACCCACGCACGCGCCAGTCTCAATATAAGGAGATTTTTTTAGTACTGCTTGCGAGAGCCACATACCATAAACATAGCTAGTGGGTGTTTCACAAAACATGAAGTCCAACTGTTGAACAAAATCCTTGGAAATTTTAAATTTTTGACTTGTTTTGACTTTCTGAATGAGAGGTATTTTTGAATGGGAATAAATATGTGCTTGGCCGGTATTAAACAAGTGCATTTAAAACCGGCTGGGAGCCTGGTCCCCGCATTATCAGCTTCCAGGCCTCTAGCCAGTTTTAAACATACTTGACTAAAACCGGCCAAGCACATATTTATTCCCTTAGTAACCTACCAAATTATTATCAAAAAGCTTCCTTGGATGAAAGATCATACTGGTACTAAACACCCTTTGAAATTATTCCAACTGGCTTGCTGTCATTTAGAAGAAATCAAGCAATGTACATGTAGGGATTTCCAACGATCAGTCAACTGACTGATTTTGGGAAATAAAGAGTGCTATAGACAAAAATGTGTTCTGTGATCAAAACGTTGTGAATGGCTTTTCACCATTTTCTCGAAAAGTGTAATTAATATCCACTGAGCTGAAACATCAACAGGTTAGCTTTTGAACTATCTTCCTTGAATTTTGAGTGAAATATTATTGTAAACGAACAAAATCCATGAAAAGCAAATGATGCTATATGCCTCTAAGGTGACAATTCCTGGGAAGGTGAGCACACTACCTCTTTTTGTTGATTTTTTCATGCAATTGCCAGAAAAATATTCGGTTGCACTTGCATTAAGCTCGAGATTTGACAAATCCCGACGATTTTGCCAATAGTCTTTGTTTCCTTGACTGAAACCTTGAGTGATTGAGCCATCTCCACAGGGAGATCATCAAAGCTGGGTTCTGAGGTGTCAATTATCCCGACGCAGAATTCCAAGGGGACCTGTCCCTTCCATACACAGACTATTCAAAATCCAATTTTCAAAGTCTCTTACTGCCGGATGACATGATCTTTTAGGTGAATAATTCCATAAATTTGCAAGACGCCAACTTCTTTGGCTGCATAGCAAGTAGATCAACTCAAGACACTGCCCTTAAGGAGTACATCAACTTATTATTTAATACAATTCTCCTAATTTCATAACGACTTGATTTCACAATCAAAAAGCAACTTGTTAGAATATCCACAGCTTAACTGACTTTAGTTTGGAGTTTTGTGAAAACCAAGGTACATGTAAATGGGCAATTCTCCATGGGAGAGCAAAAAATGTCAAAAATAAATATTTACATATTAAACCTTTTTTGCACTTTTTCCAGACCTCAATTAAATGGGGAATTCAGCTCAAAAAACGAAATTGAAAAAAAATACATATTTCTGGTAAAAACAGTGATTTTTGCAATTTATGATTAAAAACGTTCAGATTTGGTAAAAAAAAATAATTTTGTGTATGTATTACTTTCTGAATTATAGGGAAAAGATTTGATTTATTTTATGATGTTACAAGTTACTAACATTACTCAGGGTCATTAAAAAAAAATCTAAAAATCTAAATATATATATATATATATATAGTGTAGGCCTTCATTTAAAAATGTCAAAATTAGCACGTAATTCCGTTACCGAAAAAATGGCAAAAGTTACTTATTTCACAAATTTTCTTGTTTTTTTTCTTCAAATCATGTACATGTATGTTGAGAAAAGACCCTACTATAAACATAAATGAAAAATAAAAACTTTAAAATAGTAATTTCTTGGCATTTTTCCAAGTGGTAACGGAATTACGAAACGGTAACGGAATTACGGTAACGGAATTACGCATGCACAAAGTATGCACACTTCCTCCAGATTATGTACATGACATATTAAATAGGAGATTTGCATGTAACCTTGGACAATAACTTTAAATACTAAATTACTTGTTAAATCATTTCCCTCTTTAATTTGCTATTATAGAATTAAAAATAATCAGGTGTTCCATTGATATTTTTTACTTTTACTTTTTCTTTTTTACTATTTAAAAAATGCTAATAGTTGTTTGGATGCTTAAAAGGGAATATACAACATTTGCAAACATCAGAAAATAAAACTACCAAGTTTTTACGAAATACCTTACTAGAATGTTGGTAAATAACAGTCTAAAGCATCCTGTAAAATTATGGCACCTGGTGTGAAGTCATTTTCAAGAAAATGATATTTTGGTATACATTTCCAACGGTGGTCGGCCGACCACCGTTGGAAAAACCCAACTATTTTTCAACTACTGCTCCAACTTTACACTCTTTCCAGTCCAAATTTTGTTTGCTATTTGTTACATATTCATGAACGGGTGCAGGCCAGCTAGTCTGGTTCCCTTACCCTCCAATTTTCCGGCATCTATAAATTAATCCATTTAAACCTTTAGTGGAGTCAAGGAACCAGGCTACTTGAACAGTTATGTTTTTCTTGGTTTTTCCAGCATTTTCGAACGCAAAACTTCAAACATGTCAGTGTAACAATATTTGATCTATTATACTCACCCCTCAAATAGTTCATTTCTGAAAATTACAGCAAAAGCCAATGATGTACATTCCCTTTAAATCTGTGTTGCCAAAGCCGTTGTCTGGTACCCACAGAAAATATATTCCACAACAAGTATATGAAAGTTGGGTACCAGACTGTACTTGTACTTCTACTTGGCATTACTTAACATCTTCCCTTGCTCAGAGATGCCAACCAGTGCAGTTTTATTGTATTTTCCACGATAAACTAGTGAAATATGATAATACAATTGTTCATAGTAAAATTCGATTTTCGGTAAAAAAAAATATACATTGCTAACAGGCAATGCACCCATCACCAGACTGCTTTCATTTGACCTTGACCTTTGACCTAAAAAATGAAGCCCAGACATGTTTAGGCCTACATTAACATTTTGATCTGCTAATTTTCACTTAGCTTTCCCCTTGTGGCATTTTATAAACTTCTAAAATTTGTATTGTGATGAGTTTATGTTAAATTCAATGTTAATGTATTGCATTCACCTATTACATGTAAACCTATGGCGTAATTCCGTTACCGCCCAGGCGTAATTCCGTTACCGTGATTAAAATGCAAATTATGAAAAGAGTGATTATTTTTTCAACTTTGTTCTGCATTGTAGTTAACAACATCCCTGAACTCTACAAATAACAGGTAGTGTCCAATTTTAAAATTTCAAAACTTCAGAGAGTTTTGTTAATTTATGCGACAACTCAAATATGCTTGTCCTCCGTCCGTAATTCCGTTACCGATATTAAGCTCCGCCCCTTAAAGGGTAATCTTGTGGGATTTTTTTTTTTTTAGCGGTCAATTAATTCTACTGGGTCTTGGCTCCCTTTCCATGTTTAGATTAGTTGCCTAGCATAGAACATATTTTCTTGGGAAAGAATAATCCTTGACAAAGTGACAAAATTCCGTAATTCCGTTACCAAAGAATTGCCCAAATATTAACTTTGAAGTTTGGCTTTGCAAATTGAATTCATGACTTGCAGTACTATTTGGGTATAGTTTGTGTGTGTGTGGTTTTTTTAAAATACATTTTAACCAGAAATGCCACAGGGTCTGCTTAAAAAAAAAAAGCGGAACTGGGTCTGCTTGAAAAAAAAAACCGGAACTGGGTCTGCTTGAAAAAAAAAATGGAACAGCTGCTTTAAAAAAACGGAACTGTATTTTTTGTGAAAAAGCCACTCAGACACAAAGTCCTTGTTGTCATCTTTATCTTGTAGCCAAGCCCAGTTCCGTTTATTTTTTAATTTTGATTCTATGGCCTTTAAGCTGTCGGTTCCTTCAATCACTTTGACCTTTTCCATATTCCTATTATTTATTCTGCCTACCCGAATTTCCAACGTAATAATAATGTACACCAAACATGCACGATTCCACAACACTGTCGGTGTACAAATGTACATGACCTTTGCACTACGCAATGCGCACGACGAAAACATGGTTGGTATCCAGCGTTTTTTTATTCACATACATGTATATCATTGTGATTGGAAACCACCCATAACTGAAATGCTAGACTTGATGTCCAGGCCGAATGCTACTTGTGCTTAGCACATAACACGCCCGCACGCAGTGAAGCACGCGCGAGGTGCCATTGTACACTGCGTGCAAGTACGTTGGCTGCCTGTATCGCATGCAGGCTCTGCAACAACAAAAGACTTGTTTTTAAGACTACTTCAACGAACAACGTTGTGCCGTGCACCTCTGTTTCGGAAAAACACTACAACATCTGGTCAGGTACACCCAAAACTGCTGCAAAACAGCCAGTGAACGATCAAATTACAATTTAAAAAAAATCCAAAACATCAACACTTCTCTTTCTAGACCTCTGGTGTATTCTGTTGACAAAACATGCCCAAAAACACAACAAGAAAAACCCAATGCTCCTGAAAGGTTTCTAAAAACAAAAACCGCCAAAAAAAACATCACCGCTCGCGTGCAACAAGTTTAACTTTGTCTCCTGAAGCCCCAAGGAATAAATCAGCACAAATTGGGGGGGAGAGGGGGTGTGAAATAAATAAGGTCTTACTAATTGCCACAGATGCCAGAGGCAAGTATCATGGCACATAGTGAAGACTTCACGCAAAGGGAATCTAAATTGACAGTTGGCATTTATATTTGAAGACTCCCTGCATGGAAAACAAAAATTGAATTGAATGTTCTTGAGTACTCACCCTTCTGCAGCTTTGTGAGTTGTGATCTTGGCTCTGGCTGACCGTCTCTGTAAATAAGTCACCTATTGAATATAATAAAACAAAACAGGAATAGAGCTTTAAATAGTTTGACAAACAGTAATAGGTTTGAGGAAAAGATTTATGATTTAAAAAAAAAAAAAAAATCACAAAACAAAACCAAAAACAAGAGGAAAGGTACATGCACATATATGATTGGCTAGACAACAAAACAAGGTGGTCATTTTGGAATCTTGCTTTAATATGCAAAATGCAAGTGTTAATGTGAGGTTTTTGTTTTTAAGGCAGAGAGAAAGGTTCATATTTTATTTTTAAAAAAAATAATAATAACACACAGAACGTAAAATATCATGATATGTAAATATCATGTAACAGTATGTTTTTTATCACGTAGATGAAGTTGATTTCAGACACCTAAGATCCGTAACGTTTAATGTAATGTCCATAACAACAAAAACATGATGTTTCCATAATATCAAAGTTCCTTTTTGCAAAATATCATTGGTGTTCTTATAGAGTGAAGCTATATCTACGACAACATAGTTATTTCATTAATTTCTTGCAAGAAAGTTCACAGACTTTTATCATTGCTTACTGAAGATCACAAATCTAGTGTAACGCACACATGTACATAACGGTTGTTTTCAGTGCTTATACCTCATTAATTAATTCAGCTAACACTACATTAACAATGTCATGTTGTACATTAATTAAGGCCCAAGCTAGTGTTGTGCCAAATATATAAAATTTGCTTTTACTGCAAGTATTATATTTTGTTGTTTCAAATTGGTTTTTGGCTCCCGAATGTAACGTCCGTAAAAATGGGATTGTCCAGATGTACAAATGTACAAATACCATACCATGATATTATAATAATATTGATATTGTACATGTAGTTAAGTTCATCAAGTACATTTACATGTATAGTTTATTTAACCACATGGCTTTATAATAGGAAATGTTGAAGGGTTGGCAGCTTGGACAAAAAGTGATGTCTGTCAGAGCCAAATGATTGTTACAAATAGCAGTATTCTTCTTGCCAACAATACACATACGAATGTATCATGTTTGTAGCCATGCTTGGGAATATCAGTACAACAGAAATCTGACAGCTGATGCAATTCCTGTCCCGTGTTCAATTTGATCAGCATCTCTGTTTGACCTGGTTTGAGTCCATAGCATGGACCACCGGCAAATTCAATTTCAACGAGTGGGACAGAAAAATTGGGGTCTATTCTGTCGGAAAAACATACTGATAGAATTATTGGCGGTCAGTGGATTGTGCAGTTCATACTTTAATGGTTTTTCCGGTGAGTGGAACTGAAAATTGAGGTCTATTCTGTCGGCAAAACATACTGATAGGATTTGGACCGTGGATTGTGCAGTTTATAATCCATGTTTTTTCCTGTAAATTGTTTAATGTCGGGAGGTGCTTGAACATCAATGCTTGAGCAGTTTGAAAGTCATAACTGCAAATATTTGTTGGATGTTGTATGTTTAACAGCGAAGGCAGCAAATTTTTTCAAGATGATTTATGATGATTACACTTATGATGATTAAACTGTATTTATCTTCAAGCAAACTTGACGCACAGTAAAGTTGGACCATCGCTTTACACGAACCTTTCTGCGGTTTAGCGCATGCAGCCATATGGACCGTGCAATACAGCCTCATATCACACTGTTGTTGCAAAGGATCGACCAATTAGGATCGAGGATACAAGTTTGCTTGAAGATAAACATGTAATATCTGCATATCTGTGCTAAAAGGAAACAAGAAAAACAAAAGCAGAAATTCCTCAAGCTTTGGATGGCATCAGTAAGATATTTTAAAAAAAAATTAGGGCAAGTTCAACATCTGCTCTTCTGTTTCGGGGGTGGGGGATCTTGCATACTTTCAGCCTAGCTCTCTTCTTGTTGATTCAGGAGAGGAGCACGGGCCAGGCTCAAGGGCCTGCTGCTCAACGATCAGTATGGAAAGAAGCCGATATGAAATTACACAATCAGAGAATTGGAATAGAAATCTCTGTTTCGTCTGCAGGCAGGAAAACACACTCAGTATTTCAATCTGCCGCATGATAACAAAGGTAACGATGGAATCAAATTAGAGGGAATTGATGACAAAATCTATATTTTGCATCAGTAAAAGTACTTACTATAATACTTTTACATGGACCACTGCCTAAAAGATTTGCAGGTTTTCTCTTAAAATACACAGATGGAATTACATCTTTTGGGTTGGGCAAGAAGAACTTTTTGTCGGTCACAAAAATCAATATAATTACCGTCAATCACAGTGAACGTCAGTGATTTCATTACACTACAATGGCGTGGATTGCATGCACGTCTTTTTTATAGTGTATTCTATTACAATTATATATTAAAATTAGCCGTTAACACTGATGGCCATCCACAGAAGGCAAAATCTATATTTAGTCGGTCTGTTTAACTTGGCTGTCACAATATAATGACTTTGGGGGTTAAATTGAAATGTGAAATATACACTCCATTATGGATGGACATGTACTTCAACAGATGGTATACTTTGTTCAAGCAGGGAGCTATATTATACCTCCATGGTTCAAGTGAAATATTAACTTTGTATTTGTTTTTGTTTTCTAGGTTAAACATGTGTGATTATTTCAAACTGCAGGAACTTCTGCCAGTTTTAGCTAAAGTCTGGATTTCAATCCTAGCTGGGCCCAATTTCATAGCGCTGCTTAACAGCCGACTTTGTGCTTACCGAGCCTCCATCTATTTAAAAGGGACCGTTAAGCAGTAAGCACAGCAAAAGCAGGCTTAACCTCAGAAGAAAACTTTGCTTAAATCAGTGACGTAACAATAGAAATCTCCATGCGCGCGCAACTGTAAGAACATTCACGGCATGAAATAGTGCCTAAGTAGCAGCATGATTTTCTGCTATAGTAAGCACAACTTTAGTAAGCACAACTGGGCCCAGGTCTGTTTGTGCACAAAAGCAACCCATCATAAAAGCCTTTTTCGAGTGTTGGTGATGCTCGAAATACATGTAGAAATAAAGAAGTTATTCATTACAATCAAACATACAAGCTGAAAATTCTCTGAAGAGAAAAATATAATTTTGAAGAGATTAGAGAATGAACGGTACTGCTTGAAAGGAAGAATATACCATTTGCAGCTATCCAAAAAGTAACCCACCAAATTATTGTTTAAAAGCTTACTTGGTTTAAAGATAGTAATAACACTAAACTCAGTGTGAAATTATTTCTTCTGGCATGTTGTCATTTGGAAGAAAACAAAAGAAGGTTATTCCAAAGATGTGTCAGGTGACACATTTTTGAAATTTCCATTTGTAGTTGGGCGAATCCGTGAATGGGTGCAATCTTTCACACGATGCAGATGCGCGCAGTTACTATTATTTGTAACGGTTCCGTGTGTGACATCACATAACTACAATCAGCTGAATGAGAATTATGTCCTGAAGACAACACAATTCAAAATGTGTGACAGTGTATTAGCTGTACAAAGAATGGCATTACTATTATTATAACACCTACCGGGTACCCCACAGATTCTGTATCTCAATTGGCCGAGAGCAAGTCACATGGTATTTGCTATTTTTGCTATCTTGCTGTGCACGGCAAAAAAGACTGAAACACATACCAACCAAAGTACTTTACGCATAGCAAGCAAAGTACTATAAGCAACCGATATTGTGTGCAAATGCATACGGGTGTGCACGTTGCGCGTATTGTTCCCAAGCGCTAGCGCTACAGATCTGGGTTCTTACATTTTGTGAAGGGGTGTTTTGAAAAAATTCAGGTAAATTTTCAACTAATTTCGTATTGAAAAAGAAATTATTTTAATTGTTTTTAGATTAAATTAATCAGTTATCGCTTAAAATCAAGCAGAATCTGTGGGTGAGGTATTATAAAACAAATATTGACTGCTTTAATCCCTCAATCATCCATGGAGCATCCTATTTTGCCTCGGCTTTGCCTCAGGAAATTAGAATGCTCCATGGATCACCTCGGCTAAAACCACTGGAGACGACAAGCCAATAATATCTACTCAAATGTCATAGCACATTGTTTAATTCTGTCTAATTACGGGGATGAATTCCATACTCAAAAGATATCCATTACAGATTGCAGTTTCATTTAAGGGTACCTACTACAATAGAAAATACTCAGTAGGCTATACTCATTAATTAAAGCCAAGATTAAAACTGTAGCGCTGTTGGACACTCTCATCTTGCCTAGCCATTTTGAATAGTGTGAAAGGTTCTAGAATTCAGTGGCAAAGCAACACCATTCCAAAAGGTCACACCACTTGTGACTCTACACGTAGGCCTTTTCACACCATTATTTGGCCTACTGGTGATGAAACAAAGACCCCGTTCCCACTTGATCCACTAATTGGGGGATCTGATCCACCTTTTGCCAAATTGCCGGATCAGATCCCCCAATTGGTGGATCAGATCCGGCAATTGTGTGTAGTGGGAACGCTAACCGTTATAAGGTGGATCAGGATCAGATCTACCTTTTCTGATCCACCTCTGGACCAGGATACAGATCCCCCAATTGGTGGATCAGATCCGGCAATTGCCGGATCACGATCAGATGGGAACGCAAAAGGTGGATCTGATCCGGCAATTTGACCTGTTAACATCCGCCCGGTGCACGAGTGGCGCGAAAATGTTGCGGTCTCATGAACGAAGAAACACGTTTTCAGGCGTGTAGCTCATGTGAACATTTCCAGCGTTTACAACATGCACAATAAACAACCGCTGAACTACGGGCTAGCACCGCGCATGCAAAAGCGCACGTGGTATCCTAAAACTACACTATAGGCCTTATTTTTGTTGCGTGTTCGTCCATTACTAAACCTTTTTCATTCCTGAAATTTTACTTATTTTTCCATCCATAAATGACTCTGAGTCCGCACTCACCAAAAGACTTCACTTTGGCACAGAATCATTGAAAAGCTTACGAGTATGCGATGAGAATAGTGCCGATAACGCGGTACATACGGAGGTGACAAATCTGAAGTATTGATTATAGAAAATTGGAAAATGATGTCGTAGTACATCATGTGACCGTTTCTAACCAATGAGAAGCTTCAGAACCAGGGAATCCCTTATCGATGCATTGGTTTCTGCCGTGATGTCACACGTGAGCGGCTCTGTTGGATTTCACCTTTTAACTTATGCACGCACGGATCCTCTACGGATCCGTGATTTATGTTGTTGAATTCGCGTAATTTTTGTCTGTGAATTCTGATAGTGCTGTTTGAAAACTGACCCATCCTGGCCTAGCATGCAACCATGCAACAATGGCACTCCCACAGAGCGCGCGTAATTCCGAACTCAGTGACCTTTCGGACCCAACATTTCCGTACGAAAAGGTGGATCAAGCATAAGTGGGAACGCGACTTGCGGTTTCGTTGCGGTAAGATAACGATCACACCAAAATGCCGGATCTTGATCCACTTTTTTCCAAATCAAGTGGGAACGCGGTGAAACACAGCTTCAGCGAAAGTGGAAGCTTGGTGTCATCGAACATGGTTAGGCAAGGCAAGTCACACCGATCAGTGTGTTCACAGGTGTGCTAAATATATGTACTTTTTCTACCCGGGTAAAGCCTCTCAACCCTGCACCCAATTTCACGAAGCGCTGCAACGCGTTTCAACTCGAGTTGCTACGCACAACACATCACAATTTGCAAGGCGTCGTATGATCCATTTCATGAAACTTACAATGTGTTGAATGCGTCGTAAGTTCCTTGACAATGGCTTAAATCACGTCGCAAGTTACAACGTGTCTAGTGGTCATCGCAAAATAAGAAGTGTCCTTTTCCTAGCCAGCTTTATGCCATACAAATTACATTAACGAGACTATCATACCGAAACAATGTGTGTGAAGTTGAAAATGGAAAATGCATTGAAGAAAATATGAATTAGCCTGGAATATTGCAGTTGAACTTTCTAAGTAGCTATACAGTCCACCATGATCTTGTTTTCCTTTAAAACTGCATCACAAGTCCGCCATTTTGTTTTACGTTTTAAAAAACCTTTCAAGAGGAGCACCGATGACTCTTTACTGAATATCAGACGACTATTTGCTGTACGTTGAATAAACACATATAACAAACACTGTGTTGTGCTATAAATACACAGGTCTACATGTATGACGCGTGGCACTTACGACGTGTTTTGTGAAATGAATCGCAGGACGCGTCGCAGCTGCAATGCATTCTAGGGAAACGACGTTATGATGAGTTACATGCAATCGGGTGCTGGTCCCGATCGGGGTTGGATTCCCTGTGTAGACCACCAGACCCATCCAGAAGCCATGTTGCATTCTTCATAGTGTGAAAGGGGTTCACAAAAACTCTGTGGAACTGTGTAAAAGGCCCTACAATAACGTCATGCTTTGTGTCATATGTGCAAAAATCTCAACAAAGCATGACGTCATTACGTCCGAGGTCTATTGGATCTGTTATACAAACATAGCTATTGAGTCCAAGTTACAATTAACCAGAGGCACACATTCAGACCACACGCAAACAAAAATTTAATTAATTTTCCCCTCAATTAACGACCAAACACATCTTGAACCTTGCGCTTCCATGGAATGGCAGCTGTTGAAGGCAAACAAAGAGGAATGCATCTGAGAGAATGGGCATTCATTACTGGACATACCTCTTTCTTCAAGTCCTCTACGGTTCGTTTCTTGCTCTGCACCAGGGCAAAGGGCCGGTAGGATCTCCGGATGTCTTTCTCCAAGGAGTTGATCTGGCCAGGCTGTGGTGAACAAAATAGTTACAAAAAATACTCAGGGAAGTGAAATTTCAAATTGGTAGATCTTTGTTACTTCGAATCCATATAAAATGACAGTTTTCAACTAAGATATTCCTGTATTACACAAATGTATCATCTGCATGTGTATACATGTATGTAAACGCACATGTACACGCACTGTACATGAGGATAAACATTATGTGGGAAAACAACTTATTTTCGTATCTCACAAAAGGCAATACAACTGAGCTCATAAAAAAAAATGAATTAGGCCAACAACAACAAAAATTCGGTCTCTGGTCAGACCGAAGTTCTGGAATTGATGCGGCGACACGTTTTTTTTTGGGGGGGGGGGGGTTGTGGCTTTTTTTCCAAGCTTGTATTGTACAGACAAGGTGGGTACTATTTTGCTTTTTTGTGTCCTCATTATACATTGGTGTCCTCCATAACTTGCCTTGGTGCCCTTTATCATTTGCCTTGGTGCAATTTCCGCATTCCTTGGTGCTCCTTGGTACAAAAATTTGAGGGGGCGCGGCAAAAGAGGGCGCTGTTGTAGCTTCCGTGTTAATTTGAAAAAAAAAAAAAGGTTGACGCGCATGATTAAAATCGACGTGCACACTGACCAGAGACCGATTATTTTTTTTTTTGGCCTTACCACAATATTGAATAATCCTTTTATGCATTTGTTTTGATGTAGTCTCATGCATACATAAATGTACATAAATTTTCATGCCAAAATTTATATTAAGGTTGCTAAACGAACAAATATTAAAACACAAAACTACAAAAAAATCAATAATTATCAAAGTGATACACTGTACATTCAACAAGTGTGCACAAAGCACACTTCTACATGTACATGTGCTTTTGTAGCCAATCTAATCCCCCAGCCCCCTCCCCACCCCACCCCGAAAAACATGAGACAAATTTCTCGACCTAAATACCCACATTCAACCAATATAAATGGTTATTCAGTGTGGCGTTCCAAAAGTCTGTGAGTTCAATCTTGTATGAGAAGTGCATTGTACAAATTGCGAATGACACTGTGATAAAAGATTAGGCCTATTGATCCGGTACATGAAAAATGCACACGTAAAGAGCTTTGTAGATTCATATTCTAAAGACACATAACTAATACACATGTACAATTGTACCCCAGAGCGGCACATAAAAGCATGCGATCAATTTGCATAATAATTTCCCCTGACAATAACACTACAAGTGAAGAAAGACAATTTATAATTTGAAGGCAGCAGTTGGAGAGGCACAGCACTGCAGGCAATGCAATCAAATCATTTCTCTGCCTCTGAATTACAGACACTTAAATTTCCCCACTGCACGGACACACTGTGCATAAATTTACAAGTAAAATAATGCACACAATTGTGACCCTGCATGTAAGTCTCTTATGAAAACCAGGTCAATTTTTTTTAGGCTCCCGAAATATTCCATTCTATTATAATGCACAATCACTATAACGAACAACCACTATAAGGAACATTTTTAATGGACCCTGTTATGTTCATTATAGTGGCGTTCTACTGTACACGTATAAAATCTTAAAGTTGCACACCCTTTTCTTCTAACAAATTTTCAATTTGTACGTTTTGCTTTCACTGGGAAAAACCTACTTCATTCCGATTTTTTGCTTCTGTAACCCTCTGGGAAAAAAAGGCTTTTATTTTACACACTAATGAACCTACTCTAGGGAGAGCCCAATTATTGTCTGGCAGCCAATAATTCGAATTTTGGGAGAAAGTAATTCAATAATTAAACATTGGTGTGTGTTTTTTTTCTTTTGATGTCTCATTCAATAGTGAATACATTTTGAATTGCTAGGAAGATAGCAATTGAAAAAAATCTCTAAACAATCTTTGAACAGCGTGAGTGTAATAATATGTCATATCTGTTTGTTTCACAGTGGTTGATTGTAGAGGACACAGAAAGTTTTCAAATCAAATCAGATCAAATCAAATCAACAGTGCTGAGGGATCTGGGTTTTATATAGTCCAGTCTACATGTGAAGGAAACTATATATTGTCTATTTACATCAATGTTCCTTTTAACAGAGTCTTTGAAAGTTACTTCAGACAAACATAACAAAAGCTACTGAAGACAATTATTTTCCTACCTACATGTACCTACCTGGATAATTTTTAGGCTGTAGTGTTACTGTAAACACTCAAAAACAATTTTCGTCCTCACTACTACGGAAAAATACAGTCTAAATCAAATTTTACGTATTTTCACGAAATTTTCTTGCTCAGAAATGGGCATGACGTAACAAACGGCCTTGTCTTACCGGAGGTCGGTGCGTCTTCCAATAGGCTTTCTCCTGATTGTCGACGACAAGTCGGTCAGCTTTCTTCCGATGCTTGGCCAGTCTGAGTGGCAAGAAAATGAAAGAAAATGATTCTTTCAGGAATTCAATGAAAAATGGAGGGGAATGAGAGATTGAAAGAGAAGAAGACACAAATTAAATTTTGTCTGGATGTGACTCCTATTAACCATAACCCGCCTCAACCCTCCAAAATCCTCCTGGCAGTTTTGAAGGATTTGGAAGGTTGAGGAGAAACACAAGATTTTGGAGGATTGAGGATGAAGGCATTTTGACAGGCAGGACTGTCTGATGATTTTGAAGGATTGAGGCACTGGGTATCCTTCATTTGAACAAAAATGCAACATTTTGGAGCATTTTAGAGGATTGAGGATGGTTCCTAATAAAATGGGCCTGAGGGTTAGGGTTAAATTACACATGCATTTACCGGTAAGTATGCATTTGGAATACTGTCAAAAGTTAGAAAAGTTTTGGAAAAAGTATTGAATGCTGATGTTGATGACTGTTATAAAATACTGTATGACGCAAGTAAAGATAAATGTACACAACAAAGTAAATAAGTTAGCGACAAAGCAGTCTACTTTATTTGGAAGGATGTACAATTTGTAATGTAAAAGTAAAAGTAAAAGTAAGTGGCCAGCCTTTGTACAATTGCAGTACTTACCATAAAAAAAGTCAATTGGAGTCAATAACCCTGCATTCGTTATTATACATGTCAAATCTTCCCACAAGACCCAAGGGGCTTTGAAAGCTAAGAATCTGAGTATTATCTGCCAATTTATTTGACAAAGCTGAAGCTTCTATCGCAAATTTACAAAGACATGTAACCTTCCTGTGGCAAAGGGGCAGTCCATTGTAAGGTTTACCAACACTGATTGTTTAATGGATTGGGAACCACTCCAGAGACCTCACAAGAAACATTGCAAGATTCTATGGATGCCGCGGGGAAGTAGCTGCCACTTTATAACAGTGACACATGTACATGTACACCGACAGACATTTCTGCGCGAGTTTGAACGTAAGTGCACCCCACAAACAATTACTTTCAGTTTTAGCAAAAATATAAGAAAAGAAAAAAATTGGAAGAACTGCCTCAGACTTATTATACACATGTATTAAATTTGTGACAAGTGGTGCATGCATGTCATTCATGTGAGGTAAATCAAATTGTATGAACCCATTGTAACGATCAGACCACAGCAGAAAAAGACTATTTGATGAATAACAAACCTACACAAGACAAATTCCAATGAGGATTCAACATCAAGTTTACCTGAGTTGTTCTTGGGCTTGGACGAGCACAAAGTCCCACTTGTGTCTCAGCATCCGTTGGAGTTTGTTAAAGGCAGTCTGTCAATGAAAAATGTTCAAGACCAGAGAATTCAATATGAAATCCAAAATGACACATAAATGTGGTTCTGTACATATTTATGTAGAATGTATTCAGATTAGCATTCTAGAGTTGGGCCGAACCAAAATGAATTAATTAAGAGCGGCTCAAGTCGACCAACATACATGTAGACTTGGGTTTCAAAATGGCAAACTTTAAGCATTATACCGGTACTTTCAATAACTACATAAAGCGATGTCTGAAATTGAGATGTTCTTAACCCTGGCTGACGGGCATAGCCGTCATCCGCTAATAAGTCCGGTGTGTTGTAAGCCGTGCTACATGTATGCCGTGGAATGTAGTCTGTGGGCCATGCTGCTGCCACCAAACAAAGGCCGCTGTGCAGTCATGCGTGTACACCGTGTAAGCTGGTAAAGTGAGGCATGACAATACCGGCGTAAAGGGGTTAATGACTGCAACAGTCGCTCTGTCAATTTCCTGCAAATGAAGTTTCTCTCGTTTTTTTTAAGCATCAAATGTTTCGTGTACAGAGGAATAATTGGATTCTGCCGGATTTGATATGCAAGTATGAAACAGTTGTCACCTTACCAGGATTACAAAATAATTTCAGATCATTCAAAATACGCCTGGAGAACCTGGCAGAATTGAGAAACGTAGAGATCAGCAAATACGGTACATCATTTCATTTGCTTATTTCTACAGTAGGCCTACCACAATTCACGAATATCGTTTATCGTTTATGCATATTATAGCGAAACGGTGCATTTTGGTGCTCGATGCCGCTTGAAAGTTAGAGAATAGTACAAAGAGATTCTATTGGTTTCCTGGAGATAAGCGACGTGTAATTTTCATGTAAAATTTGAAAAAAAACTAAAAAGTGACTGATTCGACACATCCTGATGTTCATGTAAGACAAAATACCTGTTCTTGTACATGATACGAGTACTATACACGCAGGTACAGTGCAGTGCCACTATAAAAACATGACAGTTCCTTCAGAATCCTACTCACTAGACATGCCTGATTAATGACAGTCATATATCAGCATGAGGGGCCAAGTCAGCCATTTATATGTAAGATGAGATGATTGAGCTGTATTTACACTGGAGTCACAGAACCATTATTGGGAGGACAGTCTGGCTTGTTGGTTTGCACTCCCTGACAATCATGAGCAAAATATGCGATGCAATGTATGTACATGTATGTATGTTAGGAACTCACAAAACAAATTTAAAGGTACGTACCCCCACATGTAGAAACAAAGGTACCAATTTTATGAGAAAAATCTTGCTCGAAGTGACTAAGGGCTGTTCCAATACCCTGTAAAATTAGAGTACCAGATATGGTTGCGATCGAAAGAAAATGATCAGTGAAAGTGGTTTTAAAAAAGCGTGCCCACTGGCACGTTTTTTTCAGTGAGTTAGCAACTGGCTTCCAGTATCATCAGGAGTACCCCAGGGTAGTGTTTTAGGGCCACTTTTGTTCAACTTGTTTATCAATAACCTTCCCTCATGTACTTCTTCTGCCTGTCTGTTGTTTGCAGATGATACATTATTATTCAGACCTATATCTTGCCAACAGGATCATATTTTACAGGAGGATCTTAAAGAGGTTGTGGAATGCTCGAAGACATTTCCGTCATTTTTCGGATATGTAGCCTAAGGTGTGATGAAATAAAAACCACTATTGTTTCTGTCATGAAATGAGTACAAAAGGTACTTTTGAGAGCTGTTTTTCAGGTCCAGTTTCGCCCGGAACGTGCAACTGTGTAAAAGTCGTCGTTGCGGGCAGCAAACAAAACACAGTAAATCGTGACGTAATAAACAGGACTCCCGATGCACAGTAGCATACACGAGTCCTGTTTATTATGTCACGATTTACTGTGTTTTGTTTGCTGCCCGCAACGACAACTTTTACACAGTTGCACGTTCGGGTCGAAACTGGACCTGAAAAACAGCTCTCAAAAGTACCTTTTGTACTCATTTCATGACAGAAACAATAGTGGTTTTTATTTCATCACACCTTAGGCTACATATACCCGAAAAATGACGGAAATGTCTTCGAGCATTCCACAACCTCTTTAACCAAATCCACAGGTGGTGTGTACATGTAGACAACAGGATGAATCCAAATATTAAGAAAACTAAAGTTATGCGTATCACTTGTTCTAGAAATCCCGGTGTTCCTACGTATAATATTAATAATTCTCCTCTTGATGTTGTCGCAAATTACAAATATCTGGGTGTTTTTTAAACAGTAAATTAACTTGGATTGATCATGTGAACTATGTTGTTTCTAAGGCCAACAAAAACTTCATATTTAGTGTTGCCAAGGACATATCTCTGAAGGCCAAATTAGCACTCTACAAGGCCTTGGTTTTACCCATTTTAGAATATGGTCAGCCAGTGTGGCACATTCATAATAATAATCTCATTGATAAGATTGAAAGTGTTCAGCGTCACGCTACAAGAATGATCCTAAAACAGAGAATGAAAATGAACTACACTGACTGACTGAATCTTTTACATTGGTCCTCTCTTGTGGCATGACGCAAGTTCCCTTTAATCTCATACGTCATGAAGCAATGTATGGCCTCATTACTTGTAACATTGTTAGACACGGCATTGTGGTCAACAGTCAACACACAGAAACAGTGCGGTTTTGTCATCTTAGAGCTCGCACACAAAGACTTCACGGCTCTGCAGTGAATGTGTTTGCTCGTGAATGGGACGAGCTACCGGAATCTCTGAGATCTGGCGTCGTTGAAATGTCGTTAAAAAGCTGGATCAATTCCCTAAGATGCCACCTCTGCCGACCACAGTAACTGTACTGGGTCTTTTTAGCTCTTTGTGTGTTTTTTAACGGGGGGGGGGGGGGGGGGGGGGGGTTGACATTTTTTCTCATCTCTTGCTTAAAAGTGGACAGGGTTTCGGGTGGCGCCGTGTGGAGGGAGATCTCGTCTTGAAAACCGGTTCTTTTCAGAATCAAACTTCTTCCAGGAAGAGATTTCTTTCCACATGGCGTTGCCCGTGATTTTATCTACTTTATATGCCATCCGCCATGCAAACTTCAAGTCGTATATCTTTTGCTTAATAGTTTTTTGTATCATTTTGGTTTGCAGTAACAACATGTGATGATAACTGCGGCTCAGCAGATGTTTAGTTCTAAAAAGAACTTGTCATGCTTGTTGTTTTTTTGCTAATTCTCAACTTTTTTTTCAGGGTAATTTTACGTCTTTTAACTTGCAACGAAACTTTTTTAACTGGGGGGTTTGGCATTTTTCTCATCTTTTGTTTAATTTGTTTGCTCATTTTTTAATATTTGTTTTTAAATTGCGTGCATTGAAACTTATTAACCTTTTTAATGTTTAATGTGAACATCCACAATAATTGGGTCTTTGAACTAATGGGGGGACATTTTTTTACCCCTTCTTTTTGCTGGACTATTTTTTTGTTTTGTTTTTTATTCTTTATCTTTTTTTTTCTCAACGTGGTATTTTGATAATAATTTTGGGGATAACCATATCTATTTTTTTTTTAACGGGGACGTTAACTTTTTAGCATTTATACCTCTGCCATTTTTAATATATGTGTTCATTGTTAATACATTTTTATAGATTTTTATAGATTTATATATTTCTCTGTGTAGCCAGAGGTATTGGAATTGAAGGCCTTCGGGCCACAGTTTTTAGGTAAACTTTTTTAATTCCGGGCATATGCCCCTTGCTTTTGTTTTTGTTTTCTTGGTTTTTGTTTTTTTATATTTTGTGAATGTTTGTTGTTTGTATGTGTTTTTAATGCCGAATAAATAATAATAATAATAACGGAATATAACTACATGACCACAAAGAATTGCACATATGTTTTTCCTTTTTCCTCTCAATGTGTAGTAGCCACCGAGATAAAACTTCAACAGGTAAGTTATTATGCATCCTACTGAAGATTTTGAGCACTTCTGTTGCTCGGAACAATAAAAAGGGCACAAAGAGCAAATGCTTTTTTTCGCACATGTTTTTCACACATGTACACCATGAATCCCCCCAACTCCCCCTTTTGCACCGTTGAGGGGGTACTTGTGCACAGAGCCCACAGGCCATGGCTGAAATTAGCTTCCACAGCTACTACATGTACAGGTACAGTGGAGTCTCGATAAGTCAAACCTCAGGGCAATTGGCTCAAATTGTGAGTTAAGCCGAGTTTTGAGTTATCTAATGGATTTTCTATTCAACAACAATTGACAGGAATGAGTTTTTACTTTGAGTTAGCAGGGTTTGCGTTAACAGGCTTTGACTTATTGAGATTTCACTGAACCGGAATATCTTTTGTCCGCTTGTTCCATGTTCCCACGTAGTTGTAATGGGCAAAGACCTAGACAGTAGCTCTAGACTACCAGTAGAGATTCAACACGGCCAAAGACAGAGAGAATTATAGCCTACTCTCATTCAACTATGCACAGCCTCAAATTATATAATGTACTATACAGTACATGTGCACTGTACATATTAATAACCTTGGGGCTTGACGAGCACTTGACGATCAATTTGGATTGCCAAGCAACTTCAGTCTGAGACGGTTGTTGCCTGGAATTTGCCTAAGGGTAAATTTGCCAATGTTTGATTCCTGTCTGGTCTTTCAGAAGGGAGGAAGACGTTTCATGCTTGCAAGGACCATATGTGATCTTTGCCAGGTCCACAGACCAAGTTCTGTATAACCTAAAGAAATAGATTATTAAATTAGTTTGTTTGCGTAGACACAGGAAGATGTACTATGAATTTTCTGGGTGGCAGTGTAGTATCGTTATCAATAAAACCTGCAGGATTCCAAGTTTCAATGAAAAAAAAATCTGAAACTGTGATATGAGGTGAAGGTAGTGATGGACGTCCTTCACGCTCTCAAATTTGCTCTTACAAAGAAGGATTAATCTGGATGTGGTATGTTAAGCCAGCGTTTTAAGTTAAAACGGTAAAAGTTAAAACGGTAAAACTTAAAACTGTAAAAGTTAAAACAGCAGCTCTCCACGGGAGGCTGGTCGTAAAAATTACACTACTGACGTTCAGACATCGCTTTACGTAAGGCAAGTTCAGTCTCAGTTTCTCAGTTTCTCAATTTCGGAGTTCACGTAGAACATCCACCTCGGCATAGAGCACGAGCTTAAAGTTACATGTACACCAAATCGAGTTCAACCGTTATTTTAGGGGAATTTCAAACTGTGTCTGAACGATGCCTATAAGGGCCATAAACATAAACATCTTATTGAGTACAACTGTTTCAGAATAATTTGGCAGAGCAATCAATGCATTGATGTCCGTCCCTCACGTGAGGGAAGGATTTGGATTAGAATACATGTAAGCCTCTGTTTAATCGGCTTACACGTAGGCCTATACATACTGGTACATATGTATCATATAGCCAAGTAGATAAGGGATTCAGGGAACAACCAACAAAATCAAAGACTTTTGAAGGTTATGAATCATAGAATACAATGTATATCAGCCAGGTTTGGAGTGGTATGTTCGGCAAAATTGAGCTCGGTTCGGCAATTCGGCTGCAGCACTAAATGTATCCAGACACAGTTATTACTCTTCCATGATGATGGTGCCCTTATCCTAAAGACTCAAGTTTCTCTGTCAGTGAAGAGAAAGTGAACCATTTATGTGCTTGAAATAATCCCCAATGTCCAATCAAAATGTATTCCCCACTCGCGGCCTCATCTTGGTTTCTAGGCAACAGTTGCCATGACGTCCATCCTCTCATTGTCAAATTTTGAGGCAACCAATGTAGGGTAGGGGGAAAAGTCTGTACAATAGACCAGTTTCATTTCCTCCAATAGAGGAAGGGACAATGAGTGAAGAGGAAGGAACGACGGGTGAGGATGAACGTCATTCATCTTTGTCTGGTTGCATGGTGTGCGATGTTAGCACAAACAATAAACGTCAATTGCCGACACAGTTATTCACAATGTATGTACATGTATTTAACAACCCAGCAATGTAATAAAGTTGTATTTGAACACTCACAGGATGTCTGTGCATAATATACCATGGTGTGCAAGTACATTCCATTCTTGTTTGAAACTTATTACAAATGATTGTCCATCAGAGCAAAGTGGAATTTTTTTTTTTACACATACTAATGAAATTTTCAAGTTTTATTAATACCAGTACACATGTATTTGTTTGTTCAATTCTCCCCCCCCCCCCCCAAAAAAAAAATACCCAAGAAAAAAGAATTACAAAAAAAATTATTAACAAGGAATATATTTGCAAAAGACCTGTGTGAGGCATGATTCATGTATGACTTCAATCACACTGTAAATGTGTTAATGGTACGACCAAACATCCTGTGTTTTGTCGCAATGTTTGCACAAGACTAATTGGTATGTCAAACCAATGCAGATGTCAATTCTACTAGTCCAGGGTAGACAAGTAAAAGTTAACCAGTCCTGCTTGGTCAAAACCACCAGGGATTGACTCTTTGCTCGGGGTAAATAAATGGGTACATGTAAATTACCAACATTTTGGTAAATTTTACAAAAAACAGCCGAGTATGAACGTACATACATGTAGTGTGTATTTTAGTCTTAACCCTCCAAGATTATTCAAACTCAAACAGGAGATTTATAATAACGTTTCAGTATTGAGGAAGATAGCATGTACATGTACATACAAGCCACTTTTAAACGGGCACATCGTCCTGAAATTGCCAAAATTTTAATGATAAGATTGTTTACTTGTCCTATTTCAAAGGTCTGAAAGGAAGCTAACCTAATGTTGCACCATTCCTGAGAAAAAGACGGGGAAAAACATGGTTGTTTACTTCTGACGCAGGGTACATTTTGTATGACATACGCATACATATTTCCAGCTTCTGGCAGATGATTTTAAAGAGGTTGAGGAATGCCTGAAGACATTTCCGTCATTTTTCGGGTATATGTAGCCTAAGGTGTGATGAAATAAAAACGACTATTGTGTCTGTCATAAAATGAGTACAAAGGTACTTTTGAGAGCTGTTTTTCAGGTCCTGTTTCGATCCGAACGTGCAATTTGTGTAAAAGTCGTCGTTTGGGGCAGTAAATAAAACATAGTAAATCATGACGTAATAAACAGGACTCGTTTATAAATACTACGCTGCATCAGGAGTCCTGTTTATGACATCACACTTTTGCTCATGAATCTATGGAGATTTGCAAAAGAGTACTAAAAAGTCACCAAAATACCCTTGAAAATGGCAAACCGAAAATTGAAAAATGGGAAATAGGACATGTATACAGTAAAGGTGCATTTTCAAGCATTGCATTGTATGAGCCCTTTAAATAATGTTTCTAATATCATTTAGTTTTACAACGGATTTTGTGCCCAATTGGGCACTTTCCAGGACACAAGAACCCTTTAATTCACGTTAATAGCATGAAGCTTGATCCATATGGAAGGTTATGAAGTACTGTGCCTTTGGTTTATGTACAAAGGAGAGTTTTGAGAGGATTTGGGAGGGTTCCATAGTGTCACAATGCACTGGGGTTTCTGAATTAAAAAGTAGCCAACAATTAACATTGGTAAATCAATAAAAAATTGAACAAAGAAATTGACTGGCATGGGGTTTGAACCTGGGACCTCGGACTGCTGTTCTGGTGCTCTAGCAACCAAGCTATCTAGCCTTATACTGGTATGTCAGCAGTTTCCCCATTAAGTCAATATGCCATGTATCCAGGGATCATGCTCAAAGTCGGGATGCTAGCAACATTAGCAATTATCTTGCAAACCCAGGAAATACCAAACGGGCATCATTCAGAGAGGATACATTTTTTATTACAAATAATCAGTTAAACATTTACAAGTACTACCGGTAGATAATAAAGACAGACAAAAGATTTTCCAACTTGATGCCAAACATGTACGAACAGAAACAGACTCGGAGCAAATTCAGTTCCTTGGATGTTGTTTTGATGATAATGGTACAAAAAAGTCAGCTAGCGACCTAATTAAATCCACAATCTGTTTTCATGACAAACACGTATATTTACGCACTGTACCCCCACTTTTTTTTTGAAGGCAGATTTTCACTGTCTGAATATGAGAAGCTACATGTAGAAAGCTCTAAGGAATTTCCTGCCTCACAAAGAATGTACTGAACTAAACTAATGAGGTTTGATTGGAATGAAGTACACATCTCATCAAATTAAGTTTTGTTGCAAACAATACAAGACAGTAAGGGGGAAAAACAAGCCACGTACATGATCAATGCCAACAGATTGTACAAGAAAACAGTAGTTTTGAGAGAAAAGAGAACACTACTGTAGAAATTACTGTATGAGCATGATATTCTTATTCTTGACAAATAAATGAATTAGCCTCGGGCGTAGCAGACCTTTTACTCGAATCTGGGTCCTGATGGGGTGTAAATTTGATTCATTTATGCAACAAAAAGATACTTACTGTTTCAAATTCCTCCAATCCATGCTGTTGCTTGTTCCTCATTGATCTCTTGGCCAGATAAATAGCTACAATGAAACAAAAGATGAACAATTTCTATTTAGTAAAAAGTTCATTCACAGAAATCATTTTCATTTTAACACTGTGAAATCTGAATATTAAACATGGCCAATTGTGTCCAAACAGTCCAAGTACATGTACATGTATGTATCAATTTCAGGGTGTACACGTACATGTGTATTATGATCAAGGAACGAATTGTAGGAACTTCCATGAAATCTACCCATGTTGATAAGGTCTTTGGAATTGTCAGTAGTAGCCCTTTATTCAAGAAAAAGCTAAAGTCTCTGCTTATTAAGTTACAATAATGCTTAATTTTAGTTTTACTTAATATTTGCTGTGAACATATTCTTCTAAGGATATCCCATGTGGGTTCTGATTTTACTTGATTTGTTTTTGTCTTGTCCTGTTTGTGTTGGTCCCTTGTTTCTGTATGTAACTTTAAGTGTACCGGTACTTCGTTGTGTAGTTAAGTTAAAAGAACAAATGTAATTAGTATTTATCTTAATATATATATTTTCTTCTACACATAATGGACTTCTCCACTTGACAAGCTTGCGTTTTGGAGAAGCCCGACGCTTAATCTTATCCGTTTCTCTAAATTATTGTCTAAACCTTTTCCCTTCAAAATGATTAAGTTGAAATAAATATGAATGAATGAATGAATGAATGAATTTGGTGCAGCCAAAACCTGTTGTATACATTCAGTGTGTATACCATACAAGTCAGAGGTGTCTGTGCACTCAGATTTTTGCATGTTACACCAAATTGTGAGAAGCGTGTGAAAACATCGGTATTGGCAAACAGCTCTCACAATCTGAACACGATTTAGTGGTGTGCATTTACAGGTACATTGTAGTATGGGAACTGATACCCTATTTAAAGAGGTTGTGGAATGCTCCAAGACATTTCCGTCATTTTTCGGGTATATGTAGCCTAAGGTGTGATGAAATAAAAACCACTATTGTTTCTGTCATGAAATGAGTACAAAAGGTACTTTTGAGAGCTGTTTTTCAGGTCCAGTTTCGACCCGAACATGCAACTGTGTAAAAGTCGTCGTTGCGGGCAGCAAACAAAACACAGTAAATCGTGACGTAATAAACTGGACTCCTGATGCACAGTAGCATGCACGAGTCCTGTTCGGGTACGGGTCGAAACTGGACCTGAAAAACAGCTCTCAAAAGTACCTTTTGTACTCATTTCATGACAGAAACAATAGTCGTTTTTATTTCATCACACCTTAGGCTACATATACCCGAAAAATGACAGAAATGTCTTCGAGCATTCCACAACCTCTTGAAGTAAAACACTAGTCTATGTGAGCAGATTCGCTAATTAATTAGGCAAGACAACCGCCTCTTGATCTCTAGATTTTGACCAAGCAGCGGGCGCTTTCTATATGGTCTTCGGTCATGCGCATTCACCCGTTGTGCGTCATAGACAATGGATAAAATACACGTACCGGTAACTGTGTCATAAGCTCTGCATCATGTTACGCGATATGCGCCCGGCTTTTGTTGTATTACAAAACACTGCATTCGAATTAACCAATCAAACCATTTCATCCTGATTTGGGAATGAAATGATGTCTAGATTTAGTAAAGTCGACTCTGATTGGCTGGGGCGTGGTTTGCATAAATCTGCATGTCTAGACATATCAGACATTATACAGGAGACTTGGCTCCATGGATAACGGGTGATACTCAGACTAGTTAAACACAGGGTACCCGTACAAAAGAAACCCAACCCCAAAATTTAAATCCCGGAAGTTGTCTGCTTTATAGCTTTACAGTGTAACTACAAACTTTAGTGAGCGTCATCTGTTGCCCGTTAAAACTGCACATTAACGTGAAATCTCCTTTTGATTTTCCATGTAGCCTGGTTTTCATTGTAAAGATTCCCCACAATTGGCAACAAAAACCTTTCTTTCATTATCTGAGAAGAGAAGTTACTATACAGGCGGTACATGTTTGTAAAGTTGGTTACGGGTACCCGATCCCATAATCTAGACCGGTTCCTGCAGACATCAGTTGTCAGGTCCTCAGGTACCCGGTTCCGATGTACACGTTCACCCCTAGTTACATTTTTAGACTAAAACATTGGATCAATCTTCCAGAGGCATTTGTGTTTTTTGTTTCAATGTACATTACATGGGTATGTTTATTTATTCTACACCATCATGGTGAAACCACAGAGTCTTCATCTGTAGTCAAATTTGGTATTTTTACAAGCTACCGGTATTGCATACATTGTACACATACTGTTCACATACTACATGTAGTGGGAACCAATGGTGATATTTGTTGTATAACAATACTATATAAAATCCAAATGAACAGAAATTTGATTTTCATCACACATGTGTAGCATGTTTAGCATATTTATACTTTTTTGCACATTTGTAAGCACTGGCCTTCATGCTCTAAATGTACAATGCAGGATGCTTCTTTCTAATTTTTTGGTGACCTACGTTAGGCCAAAAAAAGGCTCCGGTTACTGGTCTGCGCGCACGTCATCATTGCCATGCGCATCGGCAAAATGAAAAAGTTTTTTTCAATGTAAGATGATGTCTCAAAACTGCCAAACTCACTGGTTTGACTGGAATCCTGCTGCAGCACAATTGAAACGTGTTTTTAGATGGGGCTACGATCGAGTATAAGCTTTATGTGGCCTCTCTGGACTCCCATAAATTTTGCACTAAATTTAGTCTGGCGCCATTTGCAGACATCAGCCGACATTTGAAGAAAATAGGTAAAAAAAAAGAAAAAAGCTGTGTCACCGCACCACCTTTGGGGCAAGCTCCATACCGGTACCAGAAACCGGAGACTTTTTTTTTTTGGCCTTAGAAATATAGCACTTAGCCTGGGCGTACCCCCCCCCCCCCCCCCCAATATATCACAACTGATTGTGGAAACGGCCTTGCCCTAAAAATTACACAATTCGTCCCTGAAAACGAAATGGCCCAAGTTGAATCAGATTCCCCAAACAAAAGACCCCCATCGGTCTCAATTATTCATCTTAATGGCATCAAACACCGCAGAGCCATCAAAAGCTAGTGCGCCTGTTGGCAAGCTCCACTGCTTTTCCTGTAAACGAGTCAGGTTGCTAAGAAACCGCAAAAAAAATGTAATCTCTCGGCCGGAGTGCTTGATGGCTCCTGCTTCGATGATGAAGGCGCGGAATAATTTTTTCACGAGCCAATCGAGTTGTTGTTGAGGACATAAAATTCAAAGTTCACTGCGGAGTCTTTGCCGGGCAAGAAAAAAGCAATTTGCAGCCCTATTTATCTGTCAAATGATGCATCAATGAAGATTAATGTTATACAACATTATACAACCTTTAAGTAGGGGCTGAATCAGCTAACGGTTTTATTGATTAACACTCGTGTTACATGTGGGCATTAATAATGTTGGTTCAAGATTACATGATGCACAAACATGTAAGCATCCCTTGTACCGGTACATCCATGTGTATACATGTAATGTACAATGTAAATGTACATAATTCACATACATTTTGTACATGCCTAAACTGTACAGGGTGAGTAAACAAAACGAAACCCAAATGTTGGGACCATTGTTTTAGGGAAGTTCTGCATGTAAAATTTTCAAAATCTTGGATATAAAAGCCATATTCATCATTCAAATCACTTATGTACTTTTCAAGTTACGGAATTTTAAACACAACCACCGTTTTAAGGTTCTGTTCACAGATCACAAAAAAGTTCAGTGTTCTTTCAGCAAAACAAAACAAATCAGATAGGGATGTGTGGGAATTGTTTTCGTTTTGCTGAAAGAACGCACACCTTTTTTTGTGATCCGTGGACAGAACCTTAAAATGGTGGTTGTGTTTAAAATTCTGTAACTTGAAAAGTACATAAGTGATTTGAATGATTCTTGTACTCAAAGAAAGCTTGTGAATTGGGCTTTCACATCCTAGATTTTTAAAGTGCTATGCAGAACTTCAATAAAACAATAGTCCCAACATTTGGGTTTCGTTTTTTTTTACTCACCCTGTACAGATCATATCTTGGCAAACAAGCTTTATTGTCTAAGATGTTTGGTAACACAAAGTTTGTTAATTAATTAAAGAACTTCAGCAAATAATTATTCACAAAACTAGAATTTTCATTTGTAAAAATGTTTATACACGTACATGTATTTTTTAATGTATTTATTTTCAGTATTGAAACTTGGATCCATAATGTGACTCTGAGCAGCATGATTTGTCCAAATTGCCATGGTGCGTGCACATGGTCACTCAGTGAACACATGGTTGCTCAGTGCACACATGTATACATGTACCTTGTAATTTCCTGTCATTTTAAGTCCCGCAATGTCAGCCAAATATTGTTTTCTTTTACACGTAATTAGAAAAGTTATGTGGTTGTTCAAATATAAACTACACAGCGCCTAAAATCATGTTTGCTGAACTGAACAACTGAGTTTAGTTCAGCTCGGTGTGGTTCAGTTCGGTTCCATTGTGCTACATGTATGTTTGGCGAATTTTGGTTTGGTTCGGCAGATCGGCTACTGCATTTTTGGTATCACTGGTTTAGAAGATTAAACCTACATACGTGCATATATACATTGTACATTATGAAGTACCAGCATTTTTCATGAAAATTGAATATTCATGACCATGAACAGCACTAATTTACATTTTTTTTATTTTTTGTGTGAATTTTTCTATGGAGAAATATCTTGCATAGTATGTATACCATCACCCAGCCCCTCAATTTATGCCCATCACACTTTATCTCAAGTTAAAACTGATTCAAGAGTTTCCTCCCCCAATGTGCAGTCTCTTGTAATCTTATCAGTCGTGCGTCATCAACTACCAAAGTAATTCCCTGCTGGGACGAGTGAGAGCATTAAATTGCCCAGATAATTTCCCATCAATGTGTCCATGTGCTTCTGTATTTTTGTCACAGTGTGTAAAATCTGCACTTTGAAAGAACTCAAGTCCGAGCATTATTGCATGCACGTTCAGCAAGCATTGTCCGATGTGCTACCGTATATTTTGAATGAGCTGGGGTTTATAATAATAATTTGGGAGGCTAATCATCGTTACTCGCAGCTGAGAAGCTGAAATGCGAAGGACGCCACTACAATGTGATCAAGCCGCAGGCATGTACCGGTACATGTAAAGGCGCCTCCAGCCACGTTGACCCATATATGACCACAGAGCACAGCCCAAGATCGAAAGTGGTTGAAATTTTCTGGAGGGAGGAAAACCAGAGGGCCCGGAGAAAAAAACCTTGTGTCACAGGAGAAAACCAACACACAACTCTACTCATGTATGGCATGTACGGTACATGTACATGTATGGTCCGCGGACGGGATTCGAACCAGGGCCACAGTGGTGAGAGGCGACACAAGCCACCCATGCCACCCAATTTGTTTATTATTATTTTATTTTGCTTCTTTAATCAAAGGATACTTGTACAACATTTGCTTTTGCTGTAGTTTTCAGAAATGGATGGCGGGGGTTGAGTATTTTATCGCAGATATTGTTATACCGACCTGGGTTCAAGGTTTTGTGTTCACAGATGCTAGAAAACCAAGGGAAAATAATGTAGTTTCTGTAGTCTGGTTCTCTGACGCTACTTCAGAAGAAAAAGAGCAATTTATTTTTATCATTTTGTTATTGTGCCCTGTCACGTACAGGTACAGAGCTGCACCTTTGGCTTTGGTATTTGCAAAGATTCATTCAGGAAAATGTACAGTACATACATGTATGTGTACATCAGTATACATGTACTACTGTACAATGTATGTTAAAGTAAAACTGTATGTCTTCAGTTAGGGCCTACACCTTTCTTTTTCAAATGAAGTGACATATTCTGTGCTGATACTTTGAAGTAATTTTAGGAAGCATTAGAAGTACATGTACATACTTGTACTAGTTAGTAATGGGGGTACAATGTATGTCTTCTAAAAGATAGGGGAAGACTTCGTTACTGTAGAGGACATGTAATGCTTCATGCCAAGTCACGTACACATGTCCCTTCTACAAAATACTTAGTCTTTTCCTTTGTTTCTCTTGAATTCCCCCTGGTACACTTGCCAACTGCAGGCATGCAACTGGGAATTGAGAAAAAAACAAGGAAACTCCAAAGCACACAAGACTTTGTACAGTATTTTCAATTTGTAATGGCATTCATGAGAGGTAAAAAAACGAGGAAATCAACGGATCCAAGGAGAAGTTGAACGCCTGCAACTGAGAGCAATTCCTGCTGTACAAGACCCACTTCTGGTGAAATAACTCAATCCTAATGTTCATAATCCTTATATTGAACGGGCCTCCAGAGCTACAGCTCTACATCTAGTGTCAGCATGTCTCGAGATGTTGTCAGAATTACAAGACCAAATCAACACTTTGTAGACTAATCAGACATGCCCTAATGATGTTCTGCAATTAGTATATTGACAATTTCAGGACCTGAAAAAAATGAAAAAAATCATTAAATCTTCAAAACTACAAGCATCAACAGCTTCAAATGGGGTATCAATATGGGACAACAAGACCTTTCATTTGATGTGGCAGTGATGCAGTATGGTTAAGTGTATTTTTGTTGAAAATCCACCCTCGGTGCTTCAATTTTATAGAATAACAGCACCGAGTTCAGATGGGCAACCCAATCCAAATGTAAGATGAGTTGCCATGGAATTGCCCATACGGTATGATCCACTACAGCTGATTTTGAGATAACTTCACAGTGCTACGGTGCCTCACAGCACCAAAATGCTTACTATCGCCCGTTGCATGACAAAGACACAGTACATGTAACTCATGCATTTGGAGATTTCTATTGTTGCAAAGCTTCTGCCTCTGAGATTAGCATGTTCTTTGCCATGTTTGTGATTTGTATCAGTAGTCCTACTTAACTGTTTGTGGTCTTTATGGAATGGATCAAGATTCTATGACCAGAAAATTGTATGCTTAGCAGCACCCTTGGTTTCCTTGGGAGAATAGTGCTGGTTGGTCAAATGAAATTTACAAAAATCCTGATCTGCAGATGCCCAATGACTCACCATAATCAGTGTTATCAGGATCCAAATTACTCCGTGAGGGCCAGAAGTAAGGGCTCTGGAACCGGTAGAGTGCCGAGTCGTCCTTCAGTAAGACCACTTTGGCCTCTTGAACAGGAAAGATGTAGCCATAGTGACAGATGAGGTTGCCGATGTGGACAGCCTCTATGGCATTGTGAACATGCAGCTTGTCCATTATCCATTCGATCAGCTCCGAACCTGTGGCAAAAAAAAACTTACGGCATAATTACAATGTAAATGTTTCATGGGCACAAGACCAGCAAAGTTTGTAGCACAGGATGTTACAAATGGATGTTGTGGATCCTTGACGCAATGCGCGCTGGTTAAATTTTGCGTGCGGTGATCAATAATATAGGCCGTTGGAGAGTTTGTACCTGTATGTGGTAAGTATTTTATAACTGTCAAGGGCTTCAACCTGCAAAACAGATGGGAACAATGAACCGCCATCAACAAAACAGGTGGCATCTGACAATAAAGTGTTGCAAATTTACAAAAAAAATAACATAACAGTCGTGTGTGTGCATTTATGTACAGTTTTTCTTCCAGTTTTTGTTATTTGAACCAGCAAAAAGCTATTGGAATACTTGATAGAATATTCAAATATTCTGTTTATTCGGGAAACCCTAGATTACTACAATTAGAAACCTCTGAAATCAACTGGAATGGATCCCTCAATATGCTGATACTCTCCCAACAATCATTATTTATTGTCTTTGTGAGTTTGTTCTGAGGTGTCCAAAAGCCATAAAACCAATTAAGTTCACAGGTTTAAGGATCAAACACATGGATGGAACTACGTGAGCGTGTACACGTACATGTACGAAGCTCCATATGCTGCAACCCTTTCAGACTACACAATTTTGCGTAATTTGGAAAATGATCAGATTCACTCAGATTTCAGATTTAACAAAGAAATTCATCATGTAAAATTTTTGTGTACAGCACAGGCTGCACAACACTACTTGAGTAACTCTTATTCCTTTGAAAATCAATAACTCTTTCAGACAAAAGTAATATCCTGCACAAGGGAATATTCCGTCAGGGAGATAGGAATTTTGAATAATGTGAGCCCTTTATTAACGTAATGTTATTAGCATTTTACCGTCAGTGCTGACCAAGAGCTTGCAATAATATTGTGATTTGATTTGCCCAGGCAAAGACACGTACAATGTCAACTGTGGATACATGCACACAAACAGAGACTGAGAATATATATTTTTAGATACAAAAAAGTTGTTGTGATTGAAAATTTCACTTCTGGGAAAGCTTCATATTTATTCAAATAATACGCCCATGAACAGGGCTCTCCACTCGTCATTTATGCACGTACAGTTGTTTGGTACCGGTATTTGTATTAACAAACTTGCATACATGTGGGCAATCCCATGGTAACTCACGTTACATGCGTGTACATTTCGAGGGGGTCTTTTGTAAACTCTGTATTGTTAATTAAGTCAAACCATTTTTTTTGGGGGGGGGTGGATTTTTCCCAGAGAAAATTTCCCCATTTTTTCAGCGATGTCCACTTCCTCATGGAATTGCCAATACGTGTACACACCTGTATTACAAGTGTCAACAGAGGTGATTTTTGAATTAATAATAATAATAATAATAATAATAATTTGGGAAGCTAATTATCCTTACTCGCAGCTTGGATGCTGAATTGCGAAGGACGTGGCTACAACGTGGTCGGGCCGCTGGCACGTAAAGGCACCTATGGCTGCCGGCCACATCGACCCATACACATGTATTGTTGATGTACCCTAACGTGGCGCGGCCCCTAACATGGCGCACTTTGATTTTTCGCCTGTAGCGCCTAGCTAGAGCAAAAGTTTTAACTGAAATTTCACAGAAAGTGACATTTCATCAAGATCTAAACACTCCCGTTCATAAATCGCGAGTTTATTCACCCGTTACAAAGTTAAAAGAAAAATGTATTTTGGCATGATTTTCCGATTTTATTTTCAAGTGCAAAGTGAACCCTTTGAAAATGCCCCGAAAAATAAGAAAATAATTTTCTGACAAACATCTGGCTGGGTATGTAAGTAGAAATAATAATGATTTATCAGAATTTATCAAGTTTACAGAAATTCTTAAATGTTAATTTGGAATTTTCCGAGATTTATTTAAGTGCACCACGTTAGGGAACACTCCGCCAATTTGTGCCCAATTTCCGGACGCCACCGTTTTCGAATTTCGGATTAAAATGTTTGAAACCGAAATTGTTCACAGAGGTTAAATAGCAAGCATTAATGATGTAAAAGTACTAGTATTTTACTGCATGAATTTGAGATTTGTCAACAAAGAGGTTTGGCAACACTACATGAGGAAAGTCGGGTAAGCTTCGAAGTGCGCCACGTTAGGGAACACGACTATATGACCACGGAGCACAGCCTGAGATCGAAAGTGTTTGATTTTTCCGGAGGGAGGAAAACCGGAGGGCCCGGAGAAAAACCCTCATGGCACAGGAGAAAACCAACGCACAACTCTACTCAAATGCGATCCGCTGCCAGGATTCGAACCGTGGTCACCTTGGTGAGAGGCGAACGATTTACGCACAAGCCACCTAGCCACCCAAGCCTTTCATTGCATGCCTTTCAGCTTCATTCAGTCCAATTAGTCAATCAGGTGCTTTCAGCAAGTTAATAATTATTGACCACGATCACTTTCCAAAGATGAGGTTCTGCGCAATTGACGTTTAGCCAAACAGTTCGTGTTTGTCATTTTGAATACACATGGAGCAATTTCCGTAAAGGCCAAAGTACAAAAAAGAACGGAAACACTATTTTGTCATGTTTGTAGGCAATGTCTAGAATAATCTGTTTATAAATGACTTTTTACACCCCACTATTTGAATCGAGGGTGGTTTTTAAACAGCATGTGAAGACATAAAAAGGATTCATGTTTCGGATTTACATGTGTTCATTAGTGAGGTTAGATGTTCAAATGCTGCCTGAATGTTTAGTAATGGAGCCTTTACCCTACTGTTTCCTTTTCCCTTCAATTCAAAATGATAATTTTCAATCTTTTAAACTTAAAATTACCAATCTTTTATTTTACCAATATCACCCCATAAAGCAATTCAGATACAACCAGAGAAATGGTTCAATACTGTATATAAATATACATGTATGATGCACCAAAACTGGTATCAAATTTCCTGGTTTTACCATTGATATCAGTGAACTGTAAAAGTGAATTTCAAAATCTTCCATGACACAATGAAAAGTTTAATTATCCATTTTGTTAGGCTCAAAATGTTGAGTTTACGAACAAAACTAAGGTTTTAAGACCGGTTTACCACGAATGAAAGGACACATACTGGTATTAAATCAAACTCTTAATTTTTTAACTCAATTAAAACGAAAATTCAATAGTAAAAGGTGAAAACAAATTCAAAAGCTCGCACCTAAAAAAAAGGCCCTCTTTATACTTTCAAAGGCTCATACCACTTGCGACTCTACATGCATACATTTAGCCTTTTCTTAACCGTTGCACCTTACACAGCTTCAACAAAAGTGGAAATGGGTGTCATGATCCAACATGCCTAGATGAGGAATACCGTTAGTGTGTGCACGGGTCCGCCGTGTATTTCAAATTTTCTACCGGAGTACGGCCTCTCAACCCCGGTCCCAACCAGGGTTGGATTTTTATTGTGTAGAGCGCAAGACCCATGTAGAAGCGGTGTTGAATACTTGCTAGTGTGAAAAGGGTTCCCGAAATCTTGGACCCACTTTCAACAGGGAGATATCGGATAATGTGAAAAAGCCTTAATGTTGTAAAATGTGAGGCGTTCTGGCAAAAACAAGACGGAACTGGACACAGGCCATAGTTAAAAAAAATGCCAAAAACTAAATGGAGTGATGTTTTCGATTTTCAGTTTATTGTTATTTCTAACCTTTGATATGTCTACTACACATCTTTTAAAGAAATAGTATAAAAATTGTGGAATATATATTTTTTTTAAGGAAAACCAATTGGCATCTTTCATTTGCAGGACTATAAAACTTAAAACTTTAAAGGCGACCGTTTTCTCAGTATTTTGCCCTTTTGACAGGTCGAAAAATGAAAACTTTAAACATTCATAACTTGTCAACTGTCCGATTAAAGTGCAACGAACAGTGTTACGCCGAGTGATGCTAATGAATACGCTAATATGCATTTCGTCATTGTGTTGCTGGGCCAAAATCAGTCAACCATAGCGCCTACAACGCTATAGGATCTTTGCTGAAAACCATATGCACGTGGGTTTGGTTGGCAAAAAAACCTTGTCGAAATTGGAGATAGTTCAAGGTGTAAAACTAGCATAATTTCTAACAACAGATTAAGCTGAAATTTGGAATATACCGGTACTTGGATGATATACATGTAAGTGTTCAACTACTCGTGAGATAACAACTTGAGTAGATTCCTAGAAATAGATTTGGGGAAGTTTTCGAATGATATCTTCCAGACTTGAAGGTCAGCTTTACCAGTAACCAGTACTGACGTTTCGGCATCGATGACAGCAATTTTTTCACTGACATGAAGTTCAGAATTTCGTCTCCCGTTAACATTCCAATCATATGGAGCATATTTTCTGAGAAACACAACGTTCAAAAGGCCGTGTTTTTTGGCATGAATTTCATTGCTCTGTTACAGCATCTCAGTACGTAATCGGATAAGCTTTCCTTAACAACCGGCATGCTTTGGCGTTCGCAACCATACGGCTGTATTAAGAAGAATCTCATTTTTTTTTACTAAAACAGGTCTGCAAACCCTCATTTTAACCTCTACCCAGTTGTGTCTCATTTTGCCCGAACGCCTCACAAATTTGGGGACTCGGTTGTCATCAGTGTACAGTTTGTTACCTGTGAATGCACACGGGATGGATGTCAGGAACACCTTCTGTGATCTGGTCTTGATCCCTCTGTCATGGTGCTGCATATCCCGGATTATTTTCTCTATCTGCAAATGGTACAAAATTAGACAAAGTTCACTTTACGGGACAACTTTTTGTCAAGTCCTTTTTCAAAGTCTGATCAGTATGTATGTTATTTATTTCAGTGTCATAGTTAACAGTCTGTGGTGCATTTTTTGCCAGTGGGCAAGGGTGTTTGCGTGGTATGATTCCTGGCGTGATCCTGACCCACATCTACTGCGATTCAGTTGGTGGGGCTTGTGGACTGTTACGTCCTCATGATGGAGGTTAATCCTAACAGAATCTGTATACATGTACATGTACATGTAGTTGTAGAAGATGCTGCTAAACATCATGCCTGAGTAGTGGATCGCATCCGCGAAAAAAAAAAGTCAGCCTGGATGTCAATGGTCGTATCCTGGCAAGCCGCACTACTTGTGACATGGTTACCACACTTTTCAGAATTTCCCAGGCAGTGACTCGATTGCCAAACCTGAACCCAAAAATGGTCGACAAGACTGTTGACTGTTTTGTCATTGTCATGTTTTTGTAAAATAACACTCTAAAAATAAAGTAACTATCAGTAACTGTTTAATCGGTTTTTTTTAAAACAACAAAAGATTTAATTGTTTTTTGGGGACTTATTACCGTTTGACCGTTTTACAAAAAAAAACACTGTAAAATGACAAAAAGGTCAATGGTTCGTTTACTATTTTCATTTATGAGGAAACCCAAATGGTGAAACAAAATAATGGTATGTACCGGAATTTAACAGGGACATGCTGTTGCAGCTGACCTTAAATTTATAAAATGACCCAGATGCAAGTTGCATGTTCATGGGGGAATTGTTTGTGAAGCAATTATGGCCACAGTGTTCCCAAGGAAAACAGAACTCTTCCCATTTTTGGTTTACAGATCATGAACAGTGCCTATGGAAACAACTCCCACAGGATTAATTTACTTCACCACTGACATCCAGATTTTGTTATGTCCACAGAGTAAAATTATTAGTAGGAGTGTTGCAGCATGTGTCAGTTCACGTCAAACTTTGCAAGAGTCACCATTCACAGCACACACTATTTACGCCGCCATGTTTGTTTGTGTTATGCCTCGCTTTGATTATCAAGATGGCGACCTCGAGAAAGGTCTTGTACAGGGTTCTCAAAGGAACACCTTCTACATGTATCTATAGTCAAAATATTATCAGATTTCTGAAGACAATACATACATATGTACATGTACATGTATATAAAAATCAATTTCACATGTATTCACCATTTTCAAGCAACATGGGATAGCGGAAATTCATACAATTCATGTACATGCACACATGAAATTATTCAATTTTAAGCCTTCTTTCCACTGAAATACTGGTTCCCGATGTACAGTAGGCCTATTAGTACAGAACCACATGCATACATGTGCACAACGTACATGTACCTGTTAACTTACATGTTGTCACAAATTTGACATAAACACTAGCATCTACATACATGTACTATAATATTGCTATAGAAAATATTACATGACCAAGTATCTTGCCAGCTATCCATCAAGCTTTACTACATTTAAAGTGTCTTCTTTGTTACAGGAGCGAAAGAGACGCCCATCAAAGCAAAATCTGTTGCCATGGTGAGTTAGTTATTAACCACCTGTTGCTAAGGTTACACAGGGGACAGCACAGCAGACTGCAGATCGTCCATGATGCATTTATAGATTGAGTCAACTGCAGGCAAGGTTAGCATTAGGAGCCTCATCATTGTAACTCAGGAACTTGTTCTAACCGGGTCAGCAAAATTTCTTTTGCTGGTGAATGATGATTGTAGACACACATGTATACTGTATGTAATTGTAAGCATGGAAATTAGGTCCACATTAACACATTTGTTCCATTTGTATCAGTCACTATTCATGCACATGATGTATACATACTACATGAGCATATTATGTACCTTAACTCTGCATAAATGTAGTACATGATGCATATACATACAGTGTACATTGTACGCTGCAAACAATGGCAGCAACTTCAAGCAAGGTGCTTTTTTTACAGGTCAGATATTTTTTAGATACTAGACATTTGTCCTAGCCCTACTGTCCTTGTGGTCTAATTTAAATCCCCTCTGTCCCTTTGGGTATCATGACTATCTTTATAAGATAACTGGATTATCACTATGATCAGTGTTTGCTAACAGCCTCAGGGCCATTTCACCCTGGTAACTATCACACTGTCTTCGGACCATACATGTACACCAACCTGGTTCTGTAACATCCCCAGACCTACAATGTTGCTTCCCTAGTGAAAAGTTAGGAAAACAATGACATCAAAAACAAATTTCAAACATCAGGAGGACAAACGATTTAGATTATACAACGGCATTGACTCTTTTATATCTATTGGCTATTTTTTATACACACATACATGCATAACACTTGCTTATGGGTACACCCGTAAACATGTGTTGGAAAAACAGAGACTCTCGATCTGTCACTTTTACTTCCACAATAATTATGAGAGTATGTAAAGTACTATACAATGAGGCTATCCACGAATTGTCATTCGCACAGGACCTGTCAACTCCAGAAATAAGAGGAGAATTGGAACTTGAAAAAATGTCTGGATCAATGTGGAAATTTCATCAGTACTGTTTCCTGATGTACATGTGTACAAAATGGTAGGCCTTCAAGTCAGATCCAGTCCACTAACTAATTTCAAACAATATTTTTGATTGTAGCTTTATGAAAATAAAGAAACATGCAAACAAACAAGCAAAAAAACGGTGTCAATTAGAAAATGGCTCTTGGTGTCGCAGGCAGCAAAGTTTGATTCCCACAATGCATTGCATTTGATCGCAGGACCATGATTTGGGCCCTGAGGGAATATGTGCCTGATATGTTTAGGCAAAGAAAACTTGATTTTTGCCGACAAAAAAACACCCATATAGGCCTACCAGTATTATTGTTGACTAGTACCGAGTTTTTAGATCAGTAACAATGGCAACCATGGTACATGGCAAACCTAGACAAGTCACCACCTGTGCAAGAGCTAACATAATCAAGTTTACTGCCCCCCCCCCCAATTTGTTTAAAGAGCACTGACCATTTTAATTTGTTAACTCATAATTTGTTTACAACTCAGTTTACATACAGAAAGTAGAAAACAAATGTAATTTACAATCATTTGAAAAACACTGTTTAGTTTCATAGATGTCAACTCATGACAAACATATAATCGTCAGACCCCCTAAAGCTACGCGGTCCTTTTTCTACGCATTTACCTTCAATTTGTGTGTGACAACGTGCGCGTGTATGCTTGCAAGCGTTACCTGCGCAGATAATGGAGGGTCGAGGATACACCTCCATATAGTTATTTCCATGGTAACTAGTGATCAAGCTCGCAAAGGTTCCAATTTGATATCCCCTCATCTGAACTGGGGCATTCCCTAGGCGTGCATACATAAATGGACATTGTATTCCTTATCCTAGACTGTCTGAATAAATGGTAATTGATTTAATTGTGAAATTGTTTACCTCACAAAAGGGTCTGTAAACAAGGCAAAGTTTCATGCCAAGTTTCATGCCAAGTTTCATCACAGAGAATTGATCCAAAAAGTACCTTCAAGACGAATTTTGTAAAGGTTATATCTCAGTGATTCATTATCCAATTTTGAAAATTAAAACGGCTATGAGCTCAGATTTACTTTAGGCCTACTATACTGGACTGTCAATTGACACCAAAATATGTGGCTTCCAAAACCTTTATAATAAGCTCTGGCAGGAGCTTCTACATGTCACTTGCTGGTCGGTCAGTCTGTCTGTCCTGAAAATTGACCAAAAGAATGGTGTTCCATGTGTGCCATTGGCATCATATTTTTCCGCGTCGCATTTTTTTGGCTCTGGCAGGGATCAGTTTGAGCGATTTCATGCAAGACTTTCATGCAAGGTTTTTGCAACATGACCAGAACTTATTATGCACTCGCACAAGTTTGTTAAAAAAGGCAGCACTATTTTACCATGAACCGGTCCCCAATTGTTTTCGCTCTTGTACCGGCACTGCACTGAACATGAGCAACATTTGGATGTTTTTGTGACCAGTGTGTCAGAACTTTGTCCATCTAGGGGGCCTAATAGTACCTGTCTCAGGGATGTCTGAAGTTCCAGAGGTAGGGCCTAAACAAAGAATAGCAATCCTTAAACCAACTAGGCAGTTCTCTAACTTGTTAAAAAGGCTTTTATGGGTAGATGCTTTAATCCAATAATCACTTAACTACAGCTGGCAGGGGAAGATTAAGCTGGCTATTGTTCATCCTGTTGGCCACTGGGCTGTTAATCCTTTGGTGACATTGACTAATTCTTAATGAGTCTGTGGGCTTGGCTCAGTGACCTCTCTGCATTAAGCCAATATTCGTGATTGTAGCTCAGCCCATTTAAAAAGCTCAGACACTGGAAAACCTTGGGGAACCTAGGGAACTGGAGGTTGGATAAGGAAGTCCTCCCTTTAAGCGCTCTCCCTTTAAACATGTTAAACCACCAAGCCACACATTTGCTTTGGTTCGATGGGGTAATTTAATATCTCATAATGTGTACTTGTTTAAATTATGACCATGCACAGATCAAGGAAGTACAGGAACAAGAGCAGAAAAAAGCAGGACCGTTTCACAGTAGGCCCTACTTTAAGTTTAAATACAAAATGGTTTATGAACGATTAGCCTTTAGAACAGTAAAAAATGTGTCGGCTTAAGAGAGCTTACAGAAACGGGGCCTGTAAGTGTAAAGGTCTACACAATCACCAAAGTACTACTAGGGCCTAGGTAGGCCTAGACCTAGCTCTACTGAGTGGAGCGTTGAATTACGGGTACCCCTCCATACAAACGTTTGTATGGAGGGGTACCCGTAATTCAACGCTCCACTCAGTAGAGCTAGCCTAGACCCGTGAACGTGGCTAAGGACAGGCCTAGTCCGAGTAACTTCAACCCTACAAATTGCCTTTTTTAAACATTCGGACATGGTCTGGCACTACAAACAATCAGTTTTTAACATTCAGACC